CGAAATTCCAAAAACAAACAAAAAAGGGTTACTAGAATGGTGCCTGGGATGGAGGGGTTATCATATGAGGAGAGACTAACATATCTGTAATTGTTTTCTCGTGAAAAAAGAAGAGTTAGAGGGGATCTGATTGACAGCGCGGTTGGCCTTTGGAATAGATCGCCTTCTGGTGTTGTGGAGGCAGTAAATTTAAATGAGTTTAAGAGAAAGCTTGAAAACTATATGAATGATAAGGGCTGGCTTTAAAATTGATATATATATATATATATAGGAAATTATGCTTGGAAATCACAGCATCAACCACTTTAAATTACTGGCCGAAAAAAATCTTACAAAAAATTCCCTGACATATGGCATTTTTCCCCTGACTTTTCCATATCTTCTCTGACCACATGCATCCTGACAGTGACTCGTGATACCCTTTTCGTGTATCATGCTAAAATGACTGAAGGAAAGAGTGACTTATCGAGTGCTGTAGATCAATCAATCTCAGATTCTAGTTGTGCAGAAATTCCAAAAAGAACTGTAGAGAATGACTTCGATACAATTTCAGATCTGTTTCTGGATGTCATACTCCAGGTAATTATCTTTGGGACAGTCATCGACGATATCATTTTGCAACCCATTTCCTACCAAATAAATAGGTAAGCTGTGAAAAATGGATGTACAACAATGAAAACAAAATATGTATTAAAAAGAGTCGAATATATTTGGCCATTAATTTTGTAAGGGATTATCTTGAGCTATTTTCATATACAAATAAACAGACACCTCAGTTTGATCTGGTTGTAAATAGGGAACGATTTTGAACAAAGCTTCAAAATGTGCATGTGAATAACAGTTCATTACGTTTAATGGAGAACAATTAATACAAGTTGTGGCCAGTGATTGATATGCTGAGCATTGAGTACCAAACAACGTAGAGTCCAAATCTATTTCTTTATTGCTAATAACCTTGGATTCTTTTTTTAAATTACGATCGAGGTTTTAAGCACATTAAACTCCATATACCTAAAAACCTTTCATATGGTTGTTATGAATTTCGCGCAAAGTTAATCGAGGACTATCTGCCGTCCCTAATTTAGCAGTGAAAGACTAGATGGAAAGCAGCTAGTCATCACCACCCACCGCCAACACTTGGGCTACTCTTTTACCAACGAATAGCGGAACTGACTGTAACATTGCGAGTCGAGCACCCTGACCACCTGGCCATGTAAGCCCATTTCACATGAAGCGGACTCATTCTTTTGTCATCTCTGAACCCTTTCTAACAATTCAATGTTTTTCCTAAGGTAAGGAGCCCAAGACTGAACACAATATTCCAAATGTGGCCTGATCAATGACCTGTACAATGAAAGTATAACCTCTGTAGACTTGTATTCAATATTTCTGTAAATACAACCTAAAATCCTTTCACAACATTAATATCTGTACATCACCGCTAGGGGACGCTTGTGTCAGTTTAATAATACAAACATACTCAAATCCACCGTGCTCTAGCTAGAAGGTGAGTTAATATTTTCATATAAATATAAATAATAATAATAATATATTATATAATAACTAAAAATAATAATAAAACCATAACAAAATAAAAGTAGAATTTGCTATCTCACAGACATAGATGAATATACTATTTTGTTCTTTTTTACTTAGATTTAATCTATTGGCACCTGAGCACATATTTTTTAATGGAATGTATTACTGAAGAAGTTTTATTTTAACCTCTGCAATCTTAGCATAAAACATCCATAAAATTTTCGTTCTCTTTGAAGATTTTTTCTTGCAGTGTTCTTCTTGGATAATGTTTTTTATACTTGAAGAGCTAGTTTTTAGCTAAAGTGTGTTGTAACCAACTAATGAGATAAACTAAATTTATAATTTAACAGCAATATTATAAACAGAGCCAACCAAATAACTTTTCACACATTTTGTTATAGGGAGTAAAGTCATTCAAATGTATCTTTTATATTTGTGTGTGAAAAATGTTGAAAATTTTCTGTTATACATAGTTTTTAATATTTAAAAATTTATATATCAACCAAAACACACTGTAAAAACTATAAGAACTGGACAAAGAAATGTGCATTCAAGTCTATCCCATTGTTTGGACAACCAGCTCCAAATATCAGTTACTTATTTCAGTGTGGTATCTGGCCAAAATAGCTACAAATGACTTGGCTTTATACATTTGTCAAATGAACTGTGTCGATTAAATATGGGATTGTGCTAGAAAACAGAATAATCAATTGTAGTGCTTTCTTGGCTTTTTATAACTTCTGGTATAAATGGAATGAGAAATGATATTTGATGCTGCTTAGCATGCTCTTGTGTGATAGAAGCTTCTTTTAGTTCTTTTACCACTGGTTTATGTGGTGAAAAACATCTTTATATGTCAGCTTGTTTTCATTTTTGGGGATGCCATTCTGGATTAATGGGGCAGGATGCAAAAAATTACCTGGCCATGAATCCTGGATGAGTTGGAGTTGTCTGAAGATGAGTGGATTTGAAATGTTTGTTGTCCTGTATTTCCATTTTCACTGTACTTCGGGAAAAACTTTTATTAAGTAAGATCGATCGGTAAGGAATTAAAAAGTACATATTCTTATTATAATAGTCTGTAAAAGAAAGATTTAATTGTTAATTCCATTTGCATTTCTGTTGTAATCTACCACTGTTTTATTAATTTTATCATTTTTTGGTTTGGTACATTTTGGCATATTGTGTGTGTGTATAAATTTGTTCATAATTTTCCACATGATTTCTTTAGGCTGAGAAGTTTGTCTCTTTCAAGAATCTATGGAATCACCGATAAAACCCTTTCAATGATTGCTGGTCATTCTTCTTTGTTGGAACATCTTGATGTGGCAGGTTGTTGGAGAGTAACTGACCATGGAATAAGGTAAACGTACGAGTCAGTCAGTAGTGTTTTGGAGAGTGACTAACCATGGAATAAGGTAAACATATGGGTCAGTCAGTAGTGTTTTGGAGAGTGACTAACCATGGAATAAGGTAAACATATGGGTCAGTCAGTAGTGTTATGGAGAGTGACTAACCATGGAATAAGGTAAATATAAGGGTCAGTCAGTAGTATTTTAGAGAGTGACTAACCATGGAATAAGGTAAACATAAGGGTCAGTCAGTAGTGTTTTGGAGAGTGACTAACCATGGAATAAGGTAAACTTATGGGTCAGTCAGTAGTATTTTAGAGAGTGACTAACCATGGAATAAGGTAAACATAAGGGTCAGTCAGTAGTGTTTTAGAACTTACTTTTCCAATAATTTTGTGAAGTTTCTTTTGATAAGTATTTTAGAGAAAATTTTTGTAATCAATGTGAATTTTTTTAATTGGCCAAGCATTAGCATTTTAATAACAAATAGGTAATTATTTTG